TCATTATCAGTTACAAAATACAATGATGATGATAATTTCATTTGATTTGATTCGTTTGGCTTAACTAGATTTTGGTACGCGTACAGAATTCGGTGAATTTTTTTTTGCTACAATACCAACAAACGAATAGAGAGAAAGAAAGAAAAAAATGATGACATTTTCAACAAAGTGAAACTTTTTTTCTAGAACATTTCATCAACATCATCATCATCAAGAATAAATATAAAGAACATTTGTAATGTTCCCTAAAGAATGAATTGATTGCAATAGCGGAAAATGTCTGCTTCGTCAGAAAATGAAGAATGATCCCCTGAATTTCTAGTATTTTCGGGTGTGTGTGTGTGCGTGTGTTAAGATCGTAGAGAAAAACGGCTTCAAATTAATTGAAGTTGCAGTTTTTTTTTCTTATTCCACTTCTAAATTCTGGTTTTTGTTGCATTACCAAATTAAGAAGATAGGAGGGAAAATAAGAGAAAAATTCCAAAGAAGTCATCTAGGCTAAAAAAATAGGATACACACCATGAGTACCGATTATTATTATGAGTTATAACGAATTTCCATATGGGGTAAAACAAAACTAATGATCATGGCACAAAAACAAACAAGAAATAAGATTAAAATGAAACAAAGATGCAAATTTTTGATGGATTAGATTTGACGCAATTCAATTCACAGTCAACATACACTTTTGGATACAAATCAGAAATAAATTTGTATTGCAAATGAACAAAATTAAATATGGGTGAAAGGATTGATGAACGAATAAAAAGGAAAAAAAATAAAAGATTTTAAATTAGTAAAATCCATCATCAACTATAAATAGAAATCGGAAATACGAATCCAAAATGGTTGGGAAAAAAAACGAAAAACAAAATCAAATTGAATTAATTAAAAATTAATCTCGATAAAATATAAGAAAATCAAACAATACATTCAAATTTTGACAACTAAACATTATCGATTCTTAACAAAACGAAAAAATTAACCATGCATATCACTATAGTATATTTCAATGATGATAATGATAATACAATGCTGGAAAATTGTATAAATTTTCTGAATTCAATCGAAGAAATTCCAAAAATATTCCGGGATGTTAATCAAATTTGTAAACTAATAACCAACAACAACAACAACGAAAATAGATTTGCAAAAGAAAATTATCATTCAAATTATAGTGATAGTAAAATGAGACCAATGGATTTATTATATGAGAAATGTAAATTTATTCATTTGAGATACAAATAAGATAATCGAATTCTACTACTATTTTTCATGATTGAAAAATAGCGGAAAAATATTCTTTTTTTTTCTCATTGTTTCAAAACAAACGAACGAATAAACGTTAATGAAATGAAAATGCAACAAACGAAATTAATTTTTCTTTTTCTTTTTGTTTGAAAAAAAATGTAAATGAAATCAAAATCTGAATATTTTACCAGATTATAAATTGAATAAATTTCGAAATAGATTTAATTTTTTTTCTGTTTCTAAAAATTATTGATCTGGAATGTTCATCATTAACATTATCATCATAGAAAACAAAGGGTTTCAACAAAAGAAATCATCTAATCAATTCACAATATCATTGCACCGAAAAAAATTCTGAATTTTGATTTCATTTCATCCTACAATGTTATTATTGTTGCTCAGCAGACAAAATTATATAATTTATGTGAATGAATAATAAATCAAAATCAATATTAGACATAAAAAAAATTACAATTAAAATTGAAAAAAAAGAAATGGATAGGAAAACTGCTTGTTACGAAATTCTACACATTATTCAAATTATTATCCACAACAGTTCGTTTGTTTTTTTTTTGTTCAAATCAACCGAATATTTCTTCAGTAAAGAACATCATTTTACATCGTCATTGCTCATCTGTAATAATTTGAATCATTCTTTTAATTTCAATTTCAGAAATTTTTTCACTCTCTCTTAACTTTTAATGGCAGAAAAGTTTCCCATTCTACCCATTTATTATTCATTTTTTCGTTAAAGAAATATGATAAATAATATGATGCGAAATTTTTTTCTAACATTAAAAGAATTTCTCGAAAAAATATTGACAAATCCTTCAAAGATCGGAATTAATGAATGAATGAATGAGAATAAAAAAAAACTAGAAAATTCACCAAATATCTAGTTGATTCTATACTGAATACACAATTAGTCTGATCAAAAGTACATTAATCAAAAAGCTTATTAACCATTGTTGTTGTTGTCGTTATTATTATTTATTCACCATGATTAGTTGTGATGCGATCGACCGAATAGCAACCGACAGACCGTTACAATAAATAAATAGACATCTTGATCTAATTTTATCATCATCATTATTATTATTTTCACACACACTCATTACAAAACCGTTACTTACACCCCTATGGCCAGAATATTTGAAATATTTTATAGTAATTCTACGATTTTTTTTTCTATTCTATCAAAACCAGAAAAAAATCATGAATCAATGCTATTTAAACATACAGGTTATTTGCTTTCCAATATCATCATCGCCATAGACATTGGAATGTATAGCTGGAATTTATATTTTGTTTTCATATATTTTTATATTTTCATTTATTTAAATTGACGATATACCAGTTTATCGTGATAAAGTAATACAATAACCGGAATTTCTATGTGTGGTTAGTGCGAATGAAAAAATTCATCGATCCAAAAAAAAACTAAACAACAATTTCACAATCAAGAGAATTTATTTTTCTCCCCTCGCTATCTAACTTGAAAATTCTTTTGTATAACAAGAATTTTTTTTGTTTGTAGGGGAAAGTAGCCAGATTCTTTTGGTTCATAAATCTTAGACAAATAACTAAATTATAATAATGAGAAAAAAATGAATGAATAAAATGGATTGATTTATTTAGTAAATAATGATTCATTAAGAGACGAAGAAATCTCTATTAATTAATTAGCAAGTATGAAAAAAAATCATTTTCTATCCATCAACAATCGATATATCAAATAAATAATCACATATATCAAACAATGTTGTTGTTGTTGTTGTTGCTAAACTATACAATACTGGAAATATCATGAAATTCCGAAATTCTTTGTTCAATTATTCTATTCTTCATTGTTATTGTTGTTGTTGGAATGATGCTAAAGAAACGATGGATACTTTTTTGTTCAATTAATTTTTCATTTATTTTCGTTACAGTAATTCAATTTGTAAATCAATTAAATATAGACATGAAAAAGTAATATTAACATGAAAATTGAACAATTGAAATCAATAAAGATAAAATACAAACACAATGCTCACATGCACACACCCACACACACACACATCTATGAATTTGGCTAAAAATAAATGAACATCACAAAATCGTAGTCATTGATTTATCGAAATCGATCAAAGTGTTTTTTGGATTTCATTTGATTTGTTTCGGGGAAAAAAAGAAATTTTTCAAATACCATTTACCATTAAAATGGAATGAACATATCACATACAAAAAGAAAAAATAATAATGATTTTATTAATAAAATGATTGAACAAAAAACAAAAACCTGGCAAACGAAATCTAGGCAAGAAAAATGTATCTTGATCCCTGTTTTGTTTCAACATAATTTCTTGGCAATGAAACAACAACAACAAGAACAAAATGAATTTGTTCTTCATCATCATCATCATCTATTAAGCTTAGTTGTAATAGTGGTTGTTGTTGACATGAAAATAATAATGGAAATGTCATGTTCGGGCTGTCCACAGACACAAATAATTGCGTACATGGTTATTCTGGTTATTTTCGTATCGAAATTCAAATGGAAAATCAGAATCATATATAAAACATTTGAAAAAAACAAAACAAAACGAATTGCATAAAGAATATATTCGGATAATCATGTAAATTCTATTCAATTTCATTTATAGATATCATCCTAGATTAATAGAACAAATCATTCAAAAGAAAAAAATGCTTGTTATCGATCGCCCTTGTATAAAATAGAAAAACAACAACAATAAATCGGCTTATTATAAATTTGTATTCAATTTTAATGATAAATGTACAAAATATTTAAAGGAGAAAGAGAGAGTTCAAAGAATTATTTTAAGATTTTTTTTTTAAAAAAGATATAATTGTAGATTTATCAATGAAAAAATCATGTATAAACATGGATCAACAACAAAATCGATAATCATTGATTGAAACAAATGATTGCCGTTTTTGCAACAAAAAAAAACAATGGACAAATTAATAGATGAAATACCAGCACAAATATTAAATGGATAAAGCAAAAAAACAAAACAACGTTAAAAACAAATAAGGGCCGTGACTTGCATTAAAACAAAAATTAACATGAAACAATTAATTGAAAGAAGAAAAAAAACCAATTATTAGAATTTGCATAGTGAAAAAAAACATTTATAATGATTATGATTATTATCATTCAAATAATGTTCTTGCAAAAGAAATAAATATTAAGATTTTCCAAAATTGAATTAACAAAATTTGTTTTTAGGAAAAAAAAATTCAACAACAACAACAACAAAATTGATTTCCATTCATTGAAATGGGCTGATATCATGATAAATTTTGTTGTTATTGTTGTCTATTGATATTTGAATTGAAAATAAATCAAATAAGAATTGGTGGTCAATGACGATGACAACACAAATGACCACACATTATGAAATTATAATAGACTGAATAACAGAGAAAAGAAAAACTATTTAAAAAATAATAATAATAGTATGCATCACATTTAATTTTATGTTTTGGGCAGAAAAAAAATGTTTGCAATGTTTGCCTTTCTAATCAACTCTTAATTTTCCATTTCCAATTCAATTCAATTATTATTATTATCATTGAAGATTGGAACAAGGTAGCTAAATAAGCAGAATGATAATTTTTTACTAGTCAATAATAATAGCTAAGTGTAATAAAGACAAATCTCGTTTTTTAATATTTAAAAAAAAATCAATGATGAAATCATTTACCATTCAAATTTATTTTTAAGAAAAATTTTCACTTACCATACATCTTTCCTTCATCGGAAAGTATAATTTTACGACGACCACAAGGTGGATAGATTGCCAATGCTTCTTGAAAACTTTGTTCAATATCCGGTGACCAAACACCTTCGGCATCTGAACTGCCACCATTATTGGTACCGTTTAAACCATCAATTGAACCACTGCCACCACCTTTTAATGAACCATCTTTACTGGAATCATCATCATGTGAATCTGCGCCATCAGATTCGGCATATGATTTTAGGGAACTTCCAGACCAAGCTGGCGCTCCGCTGGTCATGATTGTCGATTTCGTGATGAACGAAATTTTTGTTACGTAAAAGAAACAAAAAAAAAACCCGAAAAAATTTAAGTTGGAGATAGAGAGGGTTTGAAGAACACACGAATCTATACGTTCACGAAAAAAACGTTTGAAGAACGTAGTAATGATGATGAAAAACAAACAAAATGTTTTTAAAAGGATAGAAATGGACAAAGTAACAATTTAAAAAAATGGAACCAAAAAACACACTTGAATAAAATTTTAAAAAACGAATTTGTTAAACACAATTGAACTACAATAACAGAACATAGATCACAAATCTGAACACATCCGCACACAAACACACATATAATGAAGACACGAATTGAAATTTTTTAGAATGAAAATCTGCTTTTTTTTCTTTATTGGAATGGATTCATTTATGATGATGATGATGATTGTCAAATATTGAATGATTAATCGTTGGATTCAAAATGATGATGAGAATTGCGCGGGAAAAATTATTTTATTGAATAAACAAAATTTGAATTTTTTTTTTGACCATCAATTTTATCCATCGACCGAATTAGTTGAATTTTTTTTTAATATAAGCGATTTTTCCAACTGAATTGAATAATTAACCTAATTAAAACAAAGGAAGAAACAAATGAAAATTATTTACAACGAAAGAAAAGAAATAAATGAAAACAAAAACATATTTGTTGTCGTAATTATAATTTCTTTAACCCCCCTCTCCTCCTCACATACACACCGTGAGCCAATATATCTCATATACATGATATAAGATAAAAATAAATTAATATTATTTAAAAAAAAGTAAAGACAAATGAAAAAAACACGTATCTATGTAAACCTAAAAAAAATTAACCAACAAACAAACTAACTAACTAACTAATCATCATTAGCAATATCAATATAATATTACTATAGCCACCTTGTTGTTGGTATACAAACATTTTGTTAACAATAATTTTTTATATAATAAAAACACTATGGATAGATCAAAATTATTAACACGGATTTTGGATTAGATCTACATTGGATGATGGCTAATGATGATTTCTTCTTTTTTTTGTTGTTGTTTGTTTCTAGTTGTTTTGTTTTAATCTGTTTGATTATCATCATGTTTATTTCTCTCTGATTGTCTGCTATATTTGTTACTGTTGTGGTTTTCATTGATGGATTTCGTAATGACATTTCTGGTTCAAAATTTGCGAAAAATGCATATAAACATGCACACAATCAGAGAGAAAAAATACACAGAAAATATAAAAGGGGTGGGCGATAAAAAAAAAACAAAATCACCATAGACACCCATAACAGGATATACATACTGATAATAACGATATGGACAAAATATTATTGGTAGCTAATGTCGATGACGATGATCTATGATCAAACGAAGTTGCAATACACATACACACTTTAAAAAAACAACTATGATGTGAGATCTTTGAAAAATAAAAATAAAAATTACGATTAAATGATGTGATGAGGATAAGATGATGATGTTGATCTTGACAACGGCGACAATGAACGACGGCAACAAACTAAAAAACGATGAAATCATCAAGAAAAAACGAAACGCTTTTCTTTCAAATCCATACACATTACATAGACACGGGAGCTTTTTTCCACATTTTCTTTCTATTTATTTTTTAATTTTGGCTGGATGCTAACAACAACAATAATTCGTCGTAAAAAAACAACGAATAAAAGTAATGTGATGTGATTCGTTGATGTTTTTTTTGTGTTTTCGTTGAAGAATCTCTTGAAATTTTTTATTCTTCGTAGTAGCATTAAGTAATGGTGATGCTTATTTTTCTCCAATCTATGATCGTCGTCGTCGTTTGTTGGTCGAGTTTATTTATTTCGATTATATATTGTTGATTCTTTTTTTGGTTGAAAATCAAAATTTCAATACCGTGTTTTGATGATCATAAACTTCTTCGTATATTTTATGTTTTATAACTTTGACGAATCTTTTATTTGAAAAAAATACTTGTAGACAACGATAAAGTCCGTGAAATCTTAAAATCATTTGATGATGATTTCTTCAATGTTGTTGTTGTTGTTGTTGGTGGTGGTGGTGGTAGTTAAGAGTTCTGGTTCTGGGTGAAAAAAAACGAAATTTAACCAAATGTATTTTGATGATGGAAACGACAATATTTTTTTTCGTTCGAAAAAAAAGTATATATTCTGAATCAAGTAGTAGTTCGAAGAAATGAGGCAAAACTAAACAGATAGAAAAAACAATTTTTATTCAAAAAAAATCAATTCAAGAGAGAAAGACATCGAAGTAAAAGAAAACTAGTTTTGCAAGTTTCATGATTTACAAGAAAAAAAACTTCTTGTTGTTGCTGTTGCTATTGCTGGCGATTATGATAATGTTGATGTCCATTTCTTGTTATGAAACAAACAAACAAACAAAAAAAGAAATCACTATGGACAATGATTAATAAATTCAAAAAATTATTATTAAATTTGGATCACAAAACTAATGAAACGTTATGACAACAATAATGATGAAACAAAAATTTTTTGTATCAACAAGTAAATTTCGAATGAAAGTTTTTTCCACGTCTTGATTCTTTTGGTTCCAAATAGCCAACAAGAAAAAAAATGTATCAACCGATGAATTTCTAGAAACCAAATAATTTTTTTAGCTAAATTTGAATCATCATCAACAATTCGATATTTGAATGAGAACGAAAAACAAGATCAAGAACCTGACTGAAAATTCATGACTGAATAGAAATTTTTTTTTTGTTGTTGTTCAAACTAACTTCTACTTTTTCATTCTTTTTTATTCAAAGGACCACAAAAACTAGGGACTTTTCTTTTTCTCTTTGTATTGTATGTGTGTCTATAGACAGAAAAAAAATACGCGCGTGTATTTTGAGATACACAAGGAGAAATTGAGAGAGAAAATATATCAACTTGGCTTCACCACCACCACTTGTTCATGTGGAAATCACACAAATCAAACATTTCCATATATTGGCTGGGTCTACATCACCACTACAACCATTACCATTAATAGCAACAGCTGGTACCTTGCTTAAAAATCGGATTGATTATCGTTTCTGCCTTATGGTTATTTTCAATCGTTGTCGTAACGTAACGTCCATCAACGAAAAAAAAAATTGAGAAACAAAAAAAAAGGAAAAGCCTTGACAGACATGATCACAATAAGAAAAAAACCTAAGCATATGCGCTTATCGGTTTCTTTTTTACCATAGTACCAAAGCCTTACTTTTCTGAATCATACACATACACAACACACCTGTCCTGTTTCGATCAATGTTTTCTCGCTTTTTCTATCACTATTTTCTAGCCCTAATACCAACCTACCTCCCTCTTTTTCTCCCAATTCAATTTCATTTCACATTGATGGTACAGGTGATGATGGTAGTGATTATTTTTTTTTGTAGTCGTCGTCGTTGTGGTGGTTGTCGATTGTTGGACCAGGTAACAACTTTGGTACATTGAAAAAAAAATAATAATTGATCGAACCATAGTCTCTGATCAGGCTACTACTTGTTGCTGGCTTTTTTTTTTTTACTTCAAACAAACTATTATCATGAATAGGCTACACATCATTTATCGTTAACTTTTTTCTTCATTTGCTCGATAAGATAAGAAAAATAAGGTCCAAGGTTTCTTTTTGTTAAATCTTTTCTCTCTTTCTTTTTCTCTACACGAACCATAAGTTTGACAATGAAAAACGAAAAAAAATTAAAGACAAAGTTCAATAGAGCAAATATAGAAAGAAAGACACAAAGCGCAACAACTTGCTGCAAAAAGTAAACTTCCGAGTGCCAAACATGCTCAAAATAGCATAAATACATTGAATGGTTTCCATCGTTTCATCATTATCGTTTACTATATTTATATTTTTGTTGTTGTTGTTAGAAATGTTTGGAATATATATGGTAGGAAAGAAAAAGCCTCTCATAGTGATGAAATTTTTTTTCTACAGTGGAAAAAAGTGGTAATGCCAAAGGTCATCACAAACAAAACCAAAAGAACCTATGCAAATTTTCGAAGTAAAAACCAATAGAAAAAAATTACGAGCAACAACAGCAGCCGTTTCTGGATCATATGAATGAACAACAACAACAACAAATGTGTGTGTGTGTGTCTTAGAAACAAAGTAAAGCTAAATTGAAAAAGATGAATGAAATGAAATGGATGAAATGAAATGAATGAATGAATGAATTTGAGATGAAACGTTTGACGCGCTCTGGTTTTATGTATTAGGTTTTTTTCAGCTTTAGCTAGTTACGCTGAACACATGGCGAATTTGAAACCATCATCATCATCATTGGTTGTGATGATGATTTACGTTACTCACATATGAGTTAAATACAAAAAAACGTTTTCCTTTCTTTTGCTCTACATGTTCCAGAAACATATTTTTTTAAGAAAAAAAAGATTCAAAATCCTATGGAAATTGGATTTGAAAGGTGAATAATGAAAGAAAGAAAGAAAAACAAAACCTAAAAAGACAAAATAATTTTATAATACTAGATTTACGATGAACCATAGATTTTCATTTGGTTTTTTATATCATTGATTTTTAAAAAATTATTCTTTCTCAGCGAAAACAACAGAAAAAATATTTAATGAAAAAATTATAGCAACAGTGAACTTGGACATCGAGAAACCATCGAGTCACATAAACGATAGACGATTTAATTCGTACAATAACAATAACATAGCCCGAAAAAAAAAGAAAATCTTTACAGATTAAAAAGCTAAATATAAATGTTATAGTCTTATCATATGATTAGAAAGAAAGAAAGATTACATAGAAAGAGGGAGAAGAATCCAGAATTATAAATCGAAATCTTAATTACGAAAAAAATGCATACGAAACGGTGAAAAAAATTATAATCCAGGATTGTTTTTGGATGAAAAAAAAATAACCAGACAGAACCCGAATAACAAAAATAATTTACATTTTCAAGATCAAGATCACGTGAAAGGCTAAATCTTTTCATATTTTTTTCTTTTCTTAATTTGCCAATGAAAAATTGACCCAATTATGATGATAAAAAATGTTTTAAATCAAAATAGAAAGAGAATTCTGGAATGGATTATGAATAGAATACCAAATTTGATAATAATCCTAATACACCGAAATAAATTGAAATTGAAATTAAAGGTCTTTTGAGAATAGCGAACTCTATTTTGTTCACAATCAAGAAACAAAAAAAAAATCCAA